ACTGCAGACTGAAAAAATGTAAAAGATTTAATAAATGGTGCAGCAGCCAGACATGGGATATACGTCATTAGAGGTAACTTATTTTTACTGTGCAAATGTACAAAAATGTATTTAGGCCATACTTTAGCTTTACGGAAATCAGTTGCTTTGCCCTAAGTAGGTGAGTGTCAAGAACACATGCACTAAATGCTACAATTTGATGCTCGTGTATAAAGTCTAGTCTGCAATTTATTTTGTCATGATGTTGTACAGTTTTTTTCTAAATAAATTTGTTTTGTGCATTGTCCCTATTTTCAGCTTGAGAGCTCGTTTTACTCCCACAGAGGGTGACATTAACCAGCTACATGGCAGTTCATCCCCATTGGACGCAGAAAAGGAAATTAACTTTTTTTTTCCCAGTAGAGCATACCTTGGCAGCTATTAAACCTGATGCAATGGAAGAACACAGAGGTAAATGAGAAGAGGACAGCTTCAGAATTTGTGATTTAAAACCAACTCAACCTGTTTCTTTCTCTACACATGGTGGCAAACCTTTTTTTTTTTTACTGGCCTTGTAGTGAACTAATAATTGCTAGTTCCCTGCTTTTTATTATACCTGAATATGTCCAAATATTTGCATTCAGCTGTTCGATCTGTGAAGCATACAATTCAGGAATCCAGGCAGAAATGATTCTTACATTGTTTGATTCTCTGAAGGATGGAGAAATCTGCATTTACAGTATATAGGCATTTTGATATGCAATTCAGTTCACTTATCACTGCTCTTGTCATTGGTGTAGTGCCCTGATTCGTTAAAGCCCAGTAAAATATATAAGGCTATATTTTTTGGATCATAAGGCTGGATATATGACATTTGTTTGGGAACATTGTTAACCATAATTATAAATGCTACTTAAACCTTATATTATTTTAACATTTATTTAAAGCGTTCTCAGCTTCTAAAGTGGGAATTAGGTATTGCTATAGGAAGAACACTTTTTTATGATTTCAGATTGTCTGAAGCCATTTATAGTTAATGGACTTTCAATCATTGTAGGAACCTCCGGAGGGCATAGTCCAGCTCTCGATTGTGAGAGCTTGTTGAAATTTGCATATTACAGCACTCTGTGATTTGAGTGTTCTGTGTCATTTGGTTGGAAAACAAAGCTACTATGTAGACAATCAACAGCTATGACATATGACTGGCATATTGTTAACTGTTACATGGCTTCAGGACTGCACAAAATATATATGTTTTTAATTTCATTATTAAAATTAAGAAAACAGTGTTGCCTACTCTGTCCTCTCCCACCCCTCGCAAGATGTGGCAGCCTGGCAAAACAAGTATTAATTGGCATAGCTGTGGAAATGTGAATGTGTAGTTTGCCTGCTATGAAAACTAACAGCCTTCGATTTCAGTCAGCAAAGGAAACACAAAAAAGATTGCCTCCTCCACTTCTAAAATTACCAAACACCCAACTCTTCTGCTCACAGTTCTAGCAGAGATGTGGGTAACCCATTGCTAATGGGTTTATGTGCTACTTACCTGGGATTCAGGTACATTGAACATGCCATCAGTGTATGAGCAGATAAAAGGGACATCTTTGATAACTTTGGTAACTGAAATGGTCAAAACTCTGAATGACTAGCTCAGTGGGCTGGATATGCATTTGAAATAGACATTGAAGTTTTACTGTTTGACGCATGCCTTTCAAAATCTTTGTGATCAATCACCTCACTATCCATTTAGGAGTTTATTAGCAGAATCAGAAAAAAAGGTTTACATCCAACATGTAAGGAAAGAATTTGTTAGCTGTGAGCAGCTTAGGTTTTACAAATAGTAAACACAGTGAATAGACACTGTAGCCTATAAACCTTAGACTAAGGAGGGTGCAAACAGGATATACATTTTATCCAGCATGAGAGGTCCATGAAACTATCTTATATAGACTACAAATAGTGATCTGAAAGACCAGAGAGTATTGAAAAATGTCAGTGACTGTCAAGTTGAAAAGGAAATACGGTCTACAAAAACATAAAAAAAATAGGGAAATAGAGTACAGAAGGACAAGTCAGGAGGGTAGGAAATGTAGGGAGTCTCAGGGGGTCTATTATCCAGCTCATAAGTCATTAGGATAGGAGAGAATTATTAAATCCTTGAGGCTGTGAGTAGGATATCCAGGTTTGCCAGATCTGAAGAAATTTGGAATTAGAATCTGTCAAAATTGCTGTAAGTTGTACATTGATCATGAATTCGGTAAGTCTGTTTTTAACTGCCTTGAAGTTTAACGTGGGTGTCTTTCATTCTCTGGCTATAGTTAATCTGGTAGTGGAAAATATATGACCAATCAGCTCTTGCTCTGAGCAAAAAATTTCTGTTATTGGTTTGTTCAATAATGCTTCATCAGGATTTTTACGGATATTTGTATGTATGAAGGAGTGAATAAAATTATAGGCCCTTATCCAAAGCCTGTTCACCACCGGACAAGTCCACCATATATAGCACACGGTGAACATGATATGCCTTTTAGCCCTAGGCTTAGAGCAACCCCAGTTAAAAATAAAAAATTTTCTCTGTTGGATCCAAAGGATATCTAGAGGGATAAGGACCAGGAGGGCTCGTAAGACATATAATAGTTTTGGAAGGTATGTTATTTTATTGGAACATAAAATAACAAACTTATAGCAAGAATCCAGCAATGAATTCAGTTGCATAAACAAGGGTGTGAGGCTTGCCTGGTCTAATGACTCATATGAAGGGGTTAGATTGATGCTTAAATAGGCTAATGTGGATGACCAATTGAAAGAATAAGCATTTCAGAGGACAACTAACGTACAAGGCTGTAGAGTGACTTCACCCTAGATTTACTTGGATTGATGTGTAATCTTGAGAATTGAGCAAACTGGGTTTCCAGTGAAAGTAAATTTGGTAGGGAGATGTGAGGAGAGATAAAAGACAACAGAATGTCATCTGCAAACAGATACCACCTCAAAATTAAATAACACCAATAAAGTAGATACTCTTTTTAGCTGAATGAAAGTTATTGAACTGTCCAGTACAAAGACAACACAGATGTTTGTGAGCTGTTGTTTGTATATTTCATAATGTGTAATTTACATAAGATACATGTTTTTACAGATGAAATCATGGAGAGAATTCAAGCTTCTGGATTTACAATTTCTCAGATAAAAGAGACTAATCTGAGCCAAGAGATGGCTGAGGAGTTTTACAAAGAACACACGGGGAAGCCATTTTTTGAACAACTTGTCAATTACATGTGCAGGTAGGGTTTATTAGTCATTAAGTAAGTGTGTATAATATTATCAGTAAGACACAGACAGATAGAAGATATTGTTCTTAAAGCGAAGCTCCACCCAAAAGGGCAAGTTCTGCTTTAAGAACTGCTCCCCCGCTCCCTATTAAGGATTGGCACCTTTGGGGGGCAGGGGGGAGCGAGTACCCGAATTTGATAGGTACCCGCTCCCACTTCCGGTCCGATAAGCGTAAGGTGTCCTCCCTCCCTGTAGTCTTTTGGGACACGTGACAGTTCCCAGAAGACTACAAGACCATTCATGAAGCGCAGAGCTATTCGCGCATGCACAGTGGGTACCTGGCTGTGAAGATGCAAGCAGTCACAACTGGGTGCCCACACTGAAGATGCCTCCTGGAATACAGGACGGCTGGTGAAACGGGCTGCGGGGGACACACTGCGGGACCGAGGGAAAGGTAAGAGCCTGTTTTTTAAAAATCAGCAGCTACAGTTTTAGTAGCTGCTGACTTTAATTTTTTGACAGGGTGAATGGAACTCCACTTTAAAGTGAACCTGTACTCCATTTTAAACATTCAGCATATGAACAAACGAGGTGGATGGAGGAATCCCAGCTGCTGGGACATTGTTTTATGACAGCTGCAGCTGCTGATTTAGGCAAATTTTCCAGTGTGTCTCTGCGAACAGAAGTCAATCAAATGATCATCTTTTGTCTAGTAGAGGCTGCCACATACTCATCGGAATTTGCCCGGTCCTCACTGAACTGGATGAATTTCAATCAGTGTATGGCCAGCCTAAAAGCCTTGCAGATACCAAAAAAGTCCTGTTATCATTTTTAACTGGAAAAGGACACTTCTGTGCCCCTATCTGATTTAGTTTTACTTTGTTAAAGGGGACAGACTTGTGCTTACTTCACGGCTAACCTTCACCAACTGCTGTGCCACTATCCAGCACAAAAGTGGCTTTTCTAGGTGATTGAGACAAAAACAGGCATCTTGTAACATCTAAGGAGTACAAGTTTACTTTAAGCATGCTATTTCAAGCCAACTGTCCATTCTGCTTAGAAGATTTGGGAGACTTTCTAGATTAGACATCTTTGCAACGATATCAGAAAAACGGTTTTATGGAACCGGAATCTATCAGAAATTTTATATCATGCAAAACATCTTCACAAGTATTTCTGTTACCATCTTTCTGTAAATAGAAGATTGCAATCAATATGCATGTCCTTTACCCAGAGCATCATTTCAACCTTATTCAGCACCATCTCATTCATATATTATGCATGTATGATTTTTATGCCATTAGTATAAAAATCTCCATATAATCATATATCAGCCGCAAGCATAGTAAGAACTGTCTTTTGCATGTGTAAAGATAAGCTAAATAGGATTTTTGCCAAAATCTGAATATTCAGTCCTAATTTATTATACTTCTGTGAGCTTACTTCTGATTTGTGTTCAGTTTTATTTCTATTGTCTGCATATGACTTTTTACTCTGCCAAAATAAATAAAACGAAATAAGGGGAAATCTAAATCTTTAAGAAGTAAGCCTGCACAATTATACTAATTTAGGACAGAATGTACAGATTCTTGCATATCTTCATATCTTGTCTAATTGTGAATGGCTCTCTTTAATTATTAGTTAAGTGTCATTCTGTTCGCTCTTACAATTTTTCCCTCAGTTCAGTTTCATATCATGATCATATGGTATGTGAAGTGTGACATATTTTATGTTTTGTTTCATTTCAGAGGTCCTTGCTTAATGATGATCCTTAGCAAAGAGAATGCAGTGCAGGAGTGGAGAGAACTGATGGGGCCCACAGACCCCACTATAGCCCAAACATCAGCCCCTGACTCTCTGAGGAGCTTGTTTGCCAAGAGCATTCTACAAAATGCAGTCCATGGCTCCTCCAACATTAATCATGCCACAGAAAAGATAAAGTTCATATTTGGTGACATTGATCTGGAAGGAAATATCAGTGGTAAGTTCAGTTAATGTATTATTGAAATTCCTTCTGTCTAGTATTGAAGGAAAACAAAACAGTTTGAAAAAAAAAGAACACCCCCTGATGTGAGGTCCAGGCTATTTTTTTGCTGTCAATGATCCACCAACTGTAGTAATGTCTGTTGATATACAAAAAATACTGTATATTTACTAACCGCATGGAATTGTAAATGCACTACACAGTGCCATTTTCCTTTGGCAAACTCCAATGGGAATAAACTCATCAGATGATGATGTACTGCAGAGCCAGATCTAGCCAGTCTGATGTGGGGGTGCAATAAAACATTTCAGGGGTGCAAAGGATGGAAAATCAACAGGGGAGTGTACAGGGGTCAGTATAGCAGTATACAGGGGGTCAGCAGGACAGAGGACATATAATAGTTTCAATAATAGGTTCCTGTACCCCTGAAGAACTGTCTTTTGTATGTTTAAAGATAACCTGTCTAAATAGGATTTTTACCAAAATCAGAATATGCAGTCCTAATTTATTATACTTGTGCGAGCTTACTTCTGATTTTTTTTTATTTGTTTGCCTTTGTTTTCAGTTTTATTTCAATTGTCTGCACATGACTTTTTACTCTGCCAAAATAAATAAAACTAAATAAGGGAAAATATAAATCTTTAAGAAGTAAGCCTGCACAGTTGTACTAATTTAGGACAGAGTATGCAGATTCTTGCGTATCTTGAAATCTTTTCTAATCATGAAAAAGGAAAACTTAAAAACAGTATAAACAATATGTAAACATTGACAATATTAATAATACTCATAACAAGTAATCTGCTTGGCTTTACAATTAAAAGTCAACACAGCATGGCAAAAATGTCAAAGACTAGGATTATTAAAGACATGGAGCAACCTGAGACAGAACAGAAAAGTTCTGTGGCTTGCCAGTAGGGGTCTTAAAGGGGGATTGAACAGAATCTGCGCCTATTGTATACAATGCACACCTATACCATAGTCCATGTACCCACAAAATACTAATTACTGTGCCACAACTGACCATCTCACAAATACAAATAAACCTCGGGCACAGAGGAAATATTTTTATAAATTTAATGTTTCCATTACCTATGTTTCTTTATCACAGGACACAGAGCAGGCTATTCATGACTGTGTGGGTTATATGCCACCTATATGCTCCTGGAGCATACTTAAGGTCTTGTACAGTTCCTTTGAGAATCATGAACTTTAATCAGATCCATTCAGAAAGTTGTGAGCCAAAATGGATGGTACCCGAGCCTCGCTGGATAAGGAGAAAAATCCTTGGGGTTTGCCTGTAATGCAGCTCGGACGCTGGACCCCACGTAGATGGAAGCCTGTGCAGTATATATCTGACCAAGGAGCTTTCCAGCGGGGTGCTATACAGGTGTGAGAGTGGCCCCACATTATGGGGACCGAGTCCTTAAAGGTCTGTATGACAATGCCCTCTATGAGGGGTGAAGGTTGGTGCCTGGCTGTAGTCAGGGACCTGCATCAGGACTGGTAAGCTACAACTTTTTTTTTTCTCTCAGAAAAAAGAAAACAAGTAGACAGGTTTTGGAGGGAAAAAGGGGAGTTTCTTGGTGCTATTGGCCAATCTGCCACCAGGAGGAGTGCTCACAGCATTTGGCTCCCTCCCCCCCCCAAAAAAATGTTATGCCTGCCTGTTGTTCTGGGTCGACCACCAGAGGGAGCATTTTTTAGATATAAGATTGCAGCCATGGGCACACACGATGGGGTGCATGCGCATTCAGTGGGCGTGCACAAGGATGACATGCACATGCGCAGAAGCGGCCGGAAGCGGAAGTCGTTCATGCTTATTTATCTAAGGGCATGGACACATGTGGGCTGCTGCTGCTGGTGGATTCCTGGTGGATTGGTGGATCGGGACACAGAGCAGGCTATTCGGTGGGGCACGTGAGTACTCTCCTGAGGGGAAGGGAGCATTGGCCAGTCAGACAGGAGCTGCCTTTGGTGGCCCATGAGGTCAGCAATTTGCATTGAATGTTTTTTTTTTAGCACACTATTTGCATAGCTGTCTCTTGTGGTCTGTATTTACTATTGGAGGTGCACAGGTTTTTACGCTAACTGAAGTAATGTCTTCGAGATTGTGGAGTGGGGGAGGCGCAGCAGGAAGGAGCTCTAACGTACCGCTGCCGGGTCCTGAGGAACTGAGCCGAATGTCCGCTGTAGTATCCTCTCCTAAGAGGTCAGAAGCGACTTGGCAGTCTGAGCCATTGCGTTTATCTAGCATTGTGGCTACTACTAGGGCATCTGCCTCGACATATGTAACCAAGGATGATTTGCTTTAGCCTTAGTGGGTTTGGAGGATAAGACCGCAGGGATGATTGCGTCGGTTTTTCAGGGGATTAAGAAGTGGGAGTGATCCCTGTCACTAGAACCACCAATCCTGGAGCAGGAATGGGTGGAACCTGAGGATAAAGAAGAATGGGAGGAAGGTCAGGCAGTAGAGTCAGTCTGAAGGGCCACAGCCTGAGGAGAAGCAGGTGGCCTCTGCCTCCCAATCTCAGAGGTTATTAAGTCCAGGACCTCACTGATATGGTACGATCTGGATTCAGGCTACCTCCGATAGAAACCTCTGATTTTTTTTATTCTTCTCTGGGCTCCTTGAAGCCTCCACAGAGTACTCAGGCCATTCCAGTGCATCCTCTTCTGGAGCAAATTATGTATGCTGACTGGGATTACCAAAACAGGATTTTTGTTCCACCAAAGAGGTTTTCTATTTTATACCCCATGGAAGAGAAGTTTGTTAAAAATGGGGTATGCCTGTAGTGTATGCAGCTGTTTCATCCCTTAATATATATTTTTAACATGTCCTGTGGATAATGTCCAGGTGTTCAAGCATCCAGCGGATAAGAAACTGGAGTCTCTCCTTAAGGCCTCCTTCTCCCTGGAAGGTTCTACCTCATAGCCAGCAGCAGTGGCAGTTATTGGCATTTGCCAGAGTCTTTCTGACCGTGTCAAACAACATCAGTGCAGGGGGAATACTCAGCTGAGGATTTGCAGGATATTCCATGTGCTTTATGTTTTGCGGTTGATGCTCCTCAGGATTCAATTTAGCAAATTTCACACTTGGCCCTCTTATCAGTTTATATGCACAGGGTTTTGTGGCTAAAGAGTTGGTCGGCAGAACTGCCCTGCAAAACATTATTGGCAGGTTTTCCCTTTCATGGAGAGCTGCTGTTTGGGGAAGATTTGGACAAGTATATCCAAAAGATTTCAGGGGGAAAGAGTTCTCTTCTACCCTTTAAAAGGAAATCCAAGAGCCCTTTTGTTAAGGGGTCAGGGGGTTTGGTTGCTGGCCCCTCATCTACCATTCAGTTGTTCCAGGGATAGAACTCAGAATCAACACCCGAGGAGGCCCTGGGTACAAAAGTCATCCAAGGCAGATCCAAAGTCCATCTCCTTATGAAGGGGTGCCCCCACTCTTTCGAGAGGGGGAAGGCTTTTGAATTCTGTTGCTGCCTGGAGGTCTCTAATTCAAGACAAGTAGGTCATTTCCACGATTTCAATGGGGCACAGCCGATTTCCCCAGTTTCTAAAATCAAATGTATTTCGAGTTCATAGCATTACTGTTTGGGCTGGCCACGGCTCCCAAAGTTTTCACAAAAACTCTTGCTCCAGTGTTGGGGCTGCTCAGATCTCGGGAGCTATCGGTCATAGGTTCTCTAGACGATCTGTTGCTCAGAGGTAGGTCAGTGCCAGGTCTGAAGCAGGATGTGGTCCTTTTGATGCAGATCCTGGAACAGCTGGACTCGGTACCTCCTTCTCCTCTCTTCTCCTCCATGCAGAATAAAAAATATGAAAGACCAATAGTGCCTTATCCTTATAAAACATCTGTCTATTAAAACCTAAAAATGGCCATTCACATGAAAAGATGCTGCATTGCACCACATATATTCAGCATTATAAACCATTACATGGATCCATATGCATGGATGCAAGTATTAAGAGTTTCTGGGGTTTCTGGGAGTTTGAGAAGTTGGCCCTGGAGCCAGTACAGAGCCTGAAGTATTTGGGGATGGTCCTAGAAACAATTCAGGCAAAAGTATTTCTGCCTCCAGAGAAACGTTGTTCCCTCAAGAACAAGGTTTGTAGTTTAAAAGCCAAGAGGTATTCTTTAATTCGCCTCTGTATGAGGTTGCTGTGGAAGATGCTGTCCTTGTTCAAGGCTATTCCCTGTTCCCAATTCCACTCTAGACCTCTGCAAAGGAACATTCTGACCGTTCGGAACAAGAAGGTTCTGGCCCTGGATTACTGTATGTCTCTTTCTCCTGAGGTACTGCAAAGCCTGAATTGGTGGTTGATGATTCACAATTTGGAGAGAGGGAGATCCTTTCAGCCAGTGGTGTAGAAATTGGTAACCACCAATGGCAGCCTCTCAGGTTGGGGGCTGTCCTGGAGGAAGCCACATTTCAGCGAATGTGGCTTCCACTGGAAAGGGTTCTACCTATCAATATCCTGGAATGTGGGAGAACTTGCAAAATCCAGGGTGTTCAAATATTTCTGTTCCTCACTGTAGAAGCCCAAATCCTAAAGGATAAGGAAGTATCGGATTTGGTCATCCCCATTATGTTGGGTGCTAGAAAGGTAGTCTCTAAGAACATTTATTACAGAACTTGGAAAGCTTACATTTCCTGGTGTGAGGTTCGGAAATGGTACACACGAAAATATGTGATTGGTAGGATTCTGTCGTTTCTTCATACAGGGTTGGAGAAAAAATTGGCTGTTGGTACCATTAAGGGACAGGTTTGAGCATTAGCTGTTTTTTTTCCAGAGGTCCATTGCGTCTCACTCTTTGGTTCGCACTTTTTTTTTTTTACAAGGAGTAATGTGTATTACTCCTATCAGGTTACCTTTGTATCCTGGGGACCTGAACTTGGTTTTGGAGGTTTTGCAAAAACCACCATTTTAACCTATTAGGGAGATTGCACTGGCCCTGTTGACTCGTAAGGTTTTGTTTCTAGTAGCAAGCACTTTTGCGAGAAGA